CTGTTTTATGATTGCGATTTCTCGTATAAAATTGTAGGCTCAGAAATATTCATCTTAAGCTAAGGACAAGGTTAGATATATAATATATGAAAAATGCAGTAGTTCTTTGAAAATGCCTTTCTTTACTCCATCAGATAAAGCTTGCAAACCTTTTATTTGATTACAATGAGAACCCTTTACTAAAATTGTAAAAATAATACCACGTGTGTCTAGAGTTCCAGATCCACTTTTTTGTTTGTTTTGACAATCTCTTACTCAGGTTAGTGCCAAAGTCATCTGAGGTTAACTTTATGGTTTAATTAAGTAATTGCAATATATACAACAGCAAAATATGGATGATATGTGATAATCCTTGCTTTTGTATGTATTCATATAGATTCAGTGGATAAATAACCCTTGTGCAACACATGCAATGCATCATTTATTTCTGTTCCGTAGCTTTATTAACTAAGATAGAAAGAAGTTCCTGGTTGCTTTAGGGCTGTGTTCCTGGTTGCTTTAGGGCTGTGTAATTTCCAGTCAGTAATTCAAAGGATTTTGACTGCGTCATCACTTTAGTTGGGTGTGTATGATAAGTAGATCTTATGAAGTACATACTAGGATTATATTTCTTGAGTTTTGAAGAAAACATAAAATTGTCATGCTTTCAAGCAGGTCATCAATTTAATCCCTATAACTTTTTTTAATCAGACACACATTTTCATCTTGCACATTAATTATATTGTATATTTTGACTTTTTGCTATTAGTAGCATAAATAATATCTAAAGAGCAGATAACTCTCTGCAATTTCATTCCTTAAAATATGTTCCATCTTCATCAGCGATTTGTTACAAATTTTGGCCCATATTGTATGCTGAATTTCATTTTTTTTTATCTTCTTGTACATATCCTTTAGTTGAAAACTGTCTTTGCCCCGTTTTTTTTTTATCTTCTTACAATCTGCATATCACTTATTAATAAATAGAAAGCTTACCTAAAAAGCTACAATTTAGTTAGCTTGGGTTGTTTTACCGTAAATGACTTACTGAAATTTAACAAAGATAATTTTTTGTGGTTAATTTGTCTGCTTAAATTTTGGTCATAATAGATATCTTTATTTTCTCTAAAAAATATAGCTGTTTTATATCTTTGCATGTGAATTCAAAATAAGTGAGATTGAAATTCCTATGACTGTAAAAGCTTGTTTGTAAATGATGTACTTTAAATATCTGTATTTGTCATGCCACATAAGATTCTGTGATAAACCTGCAATAAAAGCTAAAAATGACGTGTGTATTATTATTATGGATTATGTACATTAGTATCTATTAGAGGCATATGCATCCACTATTTTCAAAAATTCGAGGTGTATTTCTATGAACGTTTTACAAATGATAGTGTTGGTTGAGATGAAAGTAAATTACTATTATCTCTTGCTGCAGATAACCAAATGATATATTTCCCTTGTCTTTGTACAGTAATTGAAATAAAATGTCTAAAGTATTGAATTTTTACTTGAATAACAACTTGAATATTAAAATACTAAGTCTTTTGTTTCAGGGAAATAAGGCTGAATTGAGCCATAATATTTGGTAGAAATTGGTATCAATGTGTTTAGATCTTTATATTTCTAGGTAGACTTGTATATCCTTGCTGTGGCCTCATCTAGACTTGGTGAACTGTGAGCAACACACATTACTCGATGCTTTCAAATTGAAAACAGATAATGGCTTATTGATAGTGCATAGAAGACGATTCAGTTGAAACTTACTAAACAATCTGTTATAAAACTAATTACGTACATGTATGTCAGAACTACTAGTATCTGAAACTTATTTCGTTTCGTTTCATCGATGATGAAATCAAAGAAGAAATAAATTCCTTGATAAATTTCAAGAGTCAACTTTCATACTGATTCAACTAGAGCTTTGCTTGCGTTTGTCATCCAGTCTGATTTCTCCTATTTCTCTCTTGTTATGCCTTAATCATTTCAGTCAGTTGTACAAGATATAGAATTTTCATACTTAAAACAAATAAACGCAGAATGTGATATAAAAAGGTAATTTATTAATGATAATTAATGCAATCCTGATACAACTTGAATTCAACATGCCCTATTCATTAGAACGAGTAGACAGCCGTCTTTTGACATAGAACTCATTTCCCCATTTTTGGCAGTTTTATAAACTGGATCAGAAGAAGTTCCTCATTGCTTTAGGGTTTTCTCATTAGATCTAGATAAACGATAAACATCGACTAAGCATACAGTACTTACATACAGTGTACTCATCATTTGACGAGAACACAGTTTTTCCCTCTTACAAGCATATCATTATTAAACTCGTGTTGAGTTTTAATTTGATACACATTTTCGCTTCGATATGTGCACTTATGGAATACCTTATGTATATTGTAAACAACCCCTTGAGGTGTCACAAAAATGATAACAAGATTAAAGTTATGAAACATTTGCCCATTGCAAACAAGTCAGACATTGAGGGGAGAGGATGGAGTAAGCCTTTGTGTGCTTCTCTCAAAAAGCACAACGTATATCCAGATGAGGAAAACTGCATGGTCAGCCAAAACAAGCCTTTTTATCAGGTGGAACATTTCGAATATTTGCCAACATCACACATTATAAAAATCACAGACATAAAAATTTATTGATGGTTGCATTATGCACAGGACAACTATGACTAAATATTAATTGCTATAAAACATGCAATCTAAAGCGTCATAGAAATATGATAAACTTTAACTTTTGAAATGATACGGAGATTCTTCATTTATTTTCTCAAAAAATAGATTTATAAGTACTGAAAAATTGATTGGGTAGGGGTGATATTGACAGATCGGTCGGAGTAAATAAAAAAAAATCATTTTTTATTGTTGGCCTTATCTAAATTTGGTGAACTGTGAGTTACGCACATTACATAATGCTTTCAAGTTGAAAACAGATATTGAATCACTGGTAGTCCATAGAAGATGACTTTGTTGAAACTAACTATATATTCAATTATAAAACTAATTATATATGATAGAACTATCAAAAAAAACCATTTTATTCTCATTTCACCAATGATAAAATCAGAGAAGAAATTTCTTTGATATAAGAATTACACGTAACTTTCATATTGTTTCAATTTGAACTTCTGCCTACATTTTTCATCCCTTCTGATTTTTCCAATCTATGCCTTAATCATATCAGTCAGTTGCACAAGATACAGAATTTTCATGTTTAAAATAAAAGCAGAATGTGATTAAAAAGGGAATTTATTGTCATCCTCATAGAAGTTTAACATGCACTAGAACAAGTAGACAACCGTCCTTTGATATATAATTACAGAACTCATTTCCTTTTTTGGCAGCATATATTATAAACTAAATCATCAGAAGTTCCTTATTGTTTTTAAGTGTTTTGTTACTCGTATGATCTAGATAAACATCCACTAGGAGTAAATGCTACAGCACTTGCGTAAAGTGTCGACAGATAGTATTAAGGAAGTATGCTTATCATTTGAAGAGAAAGCCCCTCTTCATTCTCCCTCTTACAAGCATATCATTATTAAACTGGTCATGAGTTTATTATTTTTGATTTGATGTCACATTATGTGCATACTTGTACATGGAATATATTACTGGTATACTGTAAACAACCTTCATTTTTAGCGATGCTGTGATGTTGGCAAAAGTCGAAATGTTCCACCAGATAAAGAGGGTTAGTTTCCTTCATCTTTTATTTCTTACATACGTAGCGCTTTCTTGGAGAAGCACTCCATACTCCCTCTCTTAACGTATGACTTGTTTGTATATTGTTTCGTTACTTCGGGCTTGTTCATTTATTATTTTTGTCACGACAAGTGGTAACCAGCTCTTCCTTGTCTATAATTTCCCCCAAAAGTGAGAACCATACTCCTAATTTATCTTTGTGTCAGGTACGAAATGAAGTGAAAATTAATGAAGAGCATTTTTTGTATAAGTTAATCAAGGGGCTTCTAATTTGATTGCTTATGAACATGAAATAACCAGGAAGTCTGAAAACAAGTTAATAATTACCTTCACCGGTTCCGTATCTGTTGTAAATAAAGTGAATTAATAGGGTTAGTTATTGCATGTATTAAGAGCAAAGGCTTCTTGACTATTTTAAAATTGCATACAATAATTTTATGAAACAACATATGGATATACGTTTGGTGCCTGGTAGATGTGAAGTTGACTAATTTATTTTTAATGGGTTCTTGAGAAATGAGCTCAAGTTTTGTAACCGCGAACATCAGATGAAGTACGGTGCTGTTAAAGCTTGCTTTTTTTTCCAAGAATTTTTTTGAAAAAAAATTCAAACAATTTATATCTTTGTTATTTTTGAGGAATGCACATACGTGAACCACAGTAAATTACCTATAGAAATGAACGTTTTGTTAAAAAAGGCCTTTAACATGCAGTCTTTCGTAAATCATGTCTAAAACAATAGTTTGAGCATTTTCTATAGGATGTGTCTGACTAATTTGCTCTTGATATTTTAAGAGTACACTGTCACAACCTTTAAAGTGGACATTGTCATTAATCATTTTCAGCTTAAAACTAATACACTTTGGATAAAAGTATTATTTGGTAATATTTTGCAATCAATCAGTTAAACATATTGGCAAATATACCAGTTGTTGAAAATATAGTATAAGGGGCCAACTCCTACATTTTGTATTATATGTAATGCGTGAATACTTGAACATATTCCATACAAGTGAAACAAACCAATCTGAAAAGATTTCCTCCTTATGGTTATTGTAGCTCTAGCAAATGAAAATGCATTGTTATGAAAATAAATGAAAATGGGTTTATTTTTTCTTCCTTTTAGACACATAATTATAATTAAATGGTTTTTATTTTATGCGGATCAGAGTCTTTATGCAATAAACTTACGGTATTCCATGTTGAGAAATTAAATACATTAATTTTTACAACTCTAAATACAAGTATACAGATAAATACAAGACTTTACAAATTTTTTTTTACAATTTATCATTAAAAGAAATGTTCTTCAATTTCCAGATGTAAACCGAGTTTATAAGGGTATATGTTTGAACATCTCGCTGATAAAGGTGATCACGTGGTATTATCTGGCTGTTCCTGTTTTGGTGGCGCCTTTATAGAGAAATCCACGAACGTGTACTCTGTTCGCTCTTCTTCTCCGTGTATGATCGGTTTGCCTTTTGAGTCTGAACTTTGGGGATTTTTTGCAAATTCAACATCGATGTAAACTAAACCATCTTGATTCTGTAAAAAATAAAAGATAATATGTTCAATATATTTAAGCTGTGATATTTTAAAGAATAACTCCTGATCACAGAAACAGGAAGTGGATTGTTCTGTGGGGACCGCAAAGTCAGGTCTGTCACAAAAAGGAAATACATGTAACTTGGTTTCAGAAAGGATAAAAACATTTAACATTTATATCCTCTGTTTTTCCCTAGATAAGGAGGACTCTTTGCAGAAACACAAGGCCAAATTCTTTCTATCCTAATATGTAATAGCCAAATAGAGAAATCAGGATTGTGTTAGTCTCAAGAATTTTATTTCAATTATAAAAGGAATGGATCCAGCTGAAGGGACGGAGGGATCTTTCTGAATCAGTGATGCCCTATCTCTTCATTATAGTTTTAATGTATATGGATTTACACGACACTGTAGAATATACATATATAATGAGGTGACCACTTTGGATCGAGCTCTTCCCGTTGTTATACCGGTACCTATTTTTTTCCTGCTTGTCGAAAGTTTTAGGATTGGGGTTTCACTATGCATGATCTACCTTATGAGGAATCATAATTCGATCATTTTATCATCACTTTAAATTAATCGGTTCGCTGACAAACTCTGTAGATGGATTGTTTTAATTTGTCTAAACTAAAACTTCGGATACTGCTTGCTATAAACATCATACCTCTGTACGTGAATCGTCATTCCTGTTAGATGCTTTTGCTTCTTCTTTCTTTCCCCGCAACTCCTTTTCTCCATTTTTCTTTTTTTCTTTCGTTGAATCTGTTTGCTTATGTATATTAGGCTTTTTTATCACTTCTGAATACATGGTTTCGTTGTCATCTAATTAAGTAAGGAACACTCATTAAGCATATTTTCTTAATTACTTGTGGAAGTTTTCCTAGAGCAAATATAGTGATTAAACATTTGAGCATTCATCAGAAAGTTAAAAAGATGACGCCTTGCTCTGAACCAAATGTAAGGAAAACTATATTAGTTGAAACTGGACTTACAATTAAATTCCAGATTGATTATTAAAACATACATAAATCATTTAAATTTCAGAATTTTGAAAAAAATGGGTAACGTGATACAGCTTAGTGATTGTAATAATTGGAGAGAGAGAGAGAGAGAGAGAGAGAATATCTGCACCATTTTTATCCTTGATGACGTCACTCTCCGCTACGTCATCTTGTTGTCTGTTCTTAAGTAGGACACTTTTGTCAACAGCAGCGTAAACAACAACATCCGGCTGTGTATTATCTTGTTCTGTGGCTATAAAATATGAATGAATTGGAAATGTGAAATTTATGCAGACAAACAGATTTTAATATTTTATAGATTTAGCCAGTCAAGATCATCCAGAGTAGTTCTAAACGCTCACATTTCGAAATCCCTTTGAACTCTCATATATATATATATATATATATATATATATATATATATATATATATATATATATATATATATATATATATATATATATATATATATATATATATATATATATATATATATATTATAAATTAAAAAAGGAGGTGAAGTTTATTGTACTGCCATATTGCTGTTATTAAAAAAAACACCTAATAACGTCCAACAGGAACTGCCCTGAGAACCGATTATTTAATAATGAATAATATTCACTCTCTTTGATAACCCCAGAGACATTTACTGTACGACAAAATTTTAGAATACATGGGTATAAGAGGGTAGACAAGTGTATGTGTACATAGAATCAAAATGTAGCACAGTGACTGGGTATGTAGCGATTGCTGCAACCATGAATTAGTGCTACAGATTTCCGCACTGTGCGTTGAAAGCATTCATGATTTATTAACAGTATTCATGAATTAACGTATCGGTGTCTGCTTCAAAGCAGCTGAAATACGTACCTCGCTTTTTAAGTACCCATACAGTATATTAAGATTGTCATTAATGTAAGATGGATAAAGTTTTGATAAATCTTAATATTATACAAGTATGTTGAATTAATGAATTTATACTTTTATATTTACATTTCCAATGTCTTTGTCCGAGATAAAATTACAAATTGTAAAAATACTTTATTTCTACATAAATCTACTGGTTCATCGATAGGCGCGGTTAAAAAAAAATCACGTGCGGGGCGGGACAAATAGAGACAGAAGCGGGGCTATTAGCACGGGAATTTGCAGAATCAGGAGCATGTAAATATAAGGAATAACTGTCAGATTTTTTGGATTCATGACGATGATCAATCGACAGTTATTCCTTAAATAACCGGATTCTTATCTGTCTGCTTACATCCACTTAGTCGTTCATCACTGTTACTTTTCTTCAGGGCTGATTTTTTTCTTTTACAATACATCGTTATCGCCACTGTTAGAATCACAACTAGGACAAAAACAGCCACAGAAGCTCCAATCACAATCAGCATTGTAGTATCACCAAACAGAGAGGATGAGGCAGGCAGAGCTTTAGATAAAATATAAACTTCGTCATCATCAATATTTGTAGTATGAATAATTCTTAATTCTTATTAATTAGACTTTCAGAATAGAAGAATTGAAATAGAATTGATTTTTTCACTTGCATACTACTAAAACATACTAAAGTAAAAAACAATATATGGTAAAGTGAGCTATAGTATACCACAATCATCAGTGCCTAAACCTTTTCTCTTGTAAATCATCATTTCAAAGTGTTTTTCCCATGTAAATAAAAGTTTAAAAATTTCCCAGTGGTGAATTCATATTTGCTTATATAATGTTAAAATTCTTATTTTTATCGAATGTCGTTTTAATGTTTTGTATTTAAACAATTTTCTTTGAATTTATCTTCATGGATATGGATTTTTATGAGATATTTCTCCTATTGAACTCAAAATAATTATAGAATAAAGTTTCACAGTAAATCTGATTATTATAATGAAGTATCAAATAATTTTTTCAAAGAGTAGTACATGTTTTGAAGCTTAATACTAATTCATAGTTATAAACAATGTATCACAATAAATTAAGATAACCAAAATGTTTTAGCTCGAGACCTCCGATACTTTAAGTTCTGGCTATATTATAACCAAAAATTCATTGTATGAGAATTCTTTATTATAACGAAGTTTTTTTACCGCACTAGTGTGTAAACAAAAAGAGTTCTGTAATACTAATAATAGTTTTAGTCAATATTAGGAGATTACTTTGTAAAATGTAAGAAGATACTTCACCTTTCACTTTGACTTTAACTTCCCTAGGGCTGAAAGAACAATTGATTCTGTTACAGCTCTCCAGTCTATACAAGTATTCGTTTCCTGGGGACAAAGATCCTAGGTCATAATATCCAATGTTATCTTTACCAGGGTCTGTCAGATTTTTAACAACTCTCCAGTTGGGCCCCTCTTTCATTGACAAGATAAAGAATTGTTCTGGTCCTCCATTAAAGTTTGATATCCAGGTAAGGTTGATATATCCACTAGCGTAGGAATATCCAGTAAAGTTCAATGGTGGTTGGGGTTTATCTGATAGTGAAGTGAAGAAAAATGTGAAGGTAAGTAAAGTTCTATACACCATATTCTTGTAAACGCATTGTTAATAAAACCACACAGTGCTAGTTATGTTAAAATAATGTTTCAAACCAGGTGTTTAAATCCATGGTCATAGATTATTTTAAAAGATACAACCTTCGGCTTTGATTGTTATATCAGCTTTGACGTTTTCTTTATACATCAGTGAATAGCTTCCAAAGATCTCCTTGTTTATCTAGTAGTTTTCTCAATAATGTAATTTTCATTTTATACCGATATATTTTGTATAACAAAATGTAGAGAATTGCTTTAATATGTCTAATTTTGTGATGAATTCCTGACAATAAAATTACACTGTCAAATTCTCCGTTTTCTATATCTGCATCATTTTCTGTAAATTCTGAAGTAGTACACTTTCTTTAATCTTGGAAAAGACTAATTTGTTAGGGGAAAATAATGCATATCAAGATTTCAAGGGATTATTCATGTTTGAATATTTACATCCACTGAATATTATTTCCTTTATTTCTTATAAAAACCATAGCCGTTAATCAGTCCATAAACAACACTAAGCAAGCCACCTGCATAGATTTCTTAAGCAATGGCTGTTCCATCAATTATGTATACAATGACATACAAATCTATAATAAAATATTTAACATATTTAATTAACTTTGAATTTTTTTTAAAAAAGATAAATATAAACAATAAAATGTCTTTCTTTGTTTCTTAGAACGGGAATTAACGTCGCAGCTATTGCAGAAAAAAATTCACATAAACCGCTTACGCGGGTTATGTATTTTTTTCTGCAATAGCTGCGACATTAATTCTCGTACTAACAACCAGAGAAAGCATTTTATTGTTTAAATAAAAAGAAAATTGACTTAGTTTTCATGCTATTATTTGAAAGAGTAAACAGACAAAAAGAGGCAACATGTACAAAGATTCTGAAAGGAAATCCACATATAAATAATGTGCTTAAAAGTATCTACATTTTTTTTTCGGCAAAACAAATTTATGAAAAATATCAATATTTTTTAAAAATTTGATAAAAAAGATTGAAGTGATTAATCATATAGTTAGTTGAGTAACTTTTAGTGAGTGAAATATTCTCGAGTAGGCAACAATGATCGACAGTCACAGAATTTATTCATTTATCCATCTATTGTTAAATAGCAAAAATAATTTCAATGTTTAACTTATTACAATATTATTGTTAAACGCCGAAGATCTGGACGGCAATACAAGGGTCTCTACACCTCGTCTTCATTGACAAACTGTGCAGGTATAATTTTTAATTGGGTCACAAAATGTACCGACATTCAGAAGTGCAATTCTACACAAAATGTCGAACGGCAATATAGGTAGGCGACAATACGTCCCGCTGCGTGGACTCTCTTCTCTTGTAAGGGTTGGAAAACATCGCAAACTTAGCTAGGAAAACATAATTTAAAAAATGTTGCTCAAGGTATGTCACTCGTGAAATTTGTTATATCAAGGATTTTTTGAGAAGTATATTTTAGATAAGTACTCATATAGCATGACTCAAAATCGGAAAGAAAATGGGGAGTCAGTGTGCGTCTTACTGAGCTACGGTCCAATTGAGTTTGACCTTTTTGCACTTAAATTGTAACTCTTTGGTTAATCACTTTAATCTTTATCATATTTTATCAGATGTAATTATGGCAATTAATATGATCTTATTTTATGTAAAACAGTTTGAATAATATTTATCATTGAACAAATCATGCAAATTAATGTGCATAAATTATTGTGTGACCTTTTTGCACTAAAAAAGTATCATATTTGGGGTATAAAAAATCTAAGTATTCAACAAAATATTTTCTTGTATCAAACTTTTTATGACTTAAGTGCAGATTGATTGGAAGTATCGTGTTATTTAAAATAATGAAAGAAAAAGTTGGGGTCAGTGATGTAAATTTTGAGATATTGGTCAAAACGTGCGATTTTCATGCAAAAAAACGGTGTAAATTTTATCTTGACTTCTTTAATATATCTTTAATATATCTTCATTTTTTGGCAAAGTCTGTTGTGTGAATGTGTAAAATTTGTTCTAAAAATATAAATTGGGACCTATATTTAAAATTCCTAGCATTTCATAACGGAAAATTTGACAAATGTGTAGATTTGAAGAATTTTCTTCTAAATATCCTTCCACCTCAAGAAATAGTCCCTCATAACTCTTGTTTCTTTATGAATTTGTGAGCAGTTTTTTAATTGAATGTTGAATAATTTGCATCGTTGAATTTAAATATGTTATAAAAATTGAATTGTAATAAATAGTTTTGAAGTTAAAGGTTCTGACTAAAATTTTCTAAAAAGCCGACGAGTGACATACCTTAAGGGATGTCACTCATAAGTTTTTGAGGAAAAATTGGTTAGAATTCTCTAACTTCAATATTATTTATTACAATTCAATTTTTGTGAGATATTTGAATTAAACAATGCAAATTATACAATATTCAATTTAAAAACTGCGCACAATAATGTAAAGAAACAAGATTTATGGGGGAACTACTTCTTGTGGTGGAAGAATATTTCTAGTCATTTGTTTGATTTAAAATCTTGGAATTGCAGCCCTACCTATTTTTATTCGTAGAAATCTTTTCGTTATTATATACTAGGAATGTTAAATATAGGTTTCAATTGATATTTTTAAAACAATATCACTTTTTCACTCAACAGCCTTTGCCAAATTATGAAGATTATTTGAAGAAAACAAAACAAAAGTTTCATTGTTTTTCGCCTGAAAATCGCATATTTTGACCAATATCTCAAAATTTACATAATTGAGCCCAGTTTTTTTCTTTCAATATTTTAAATTACACGATACATTCATCCGATCAGCACTAAAATCATAGAAAGCTTGATACAAGAAAATATTTTATTGCCTATCTAGATTTTTAAAACCACAGATTTGATATATTTTCGTGCAAAAAGGTGAGACAATACTTTACGCGCATTAATTTGCTGCATTTTTTCAATAATAAATATTATTCAAAATATTTAACATAAAATAAGATTACATTTTTAGCCATGATAACATTTGGTAAAATATGATAAAGGTTAAAGTGATTAACCTAAAAGTTATAATTTAAGTGCAAACAGGTCATGTTAATTGTACCATTGCTCAGTAAGATGCACACTGACCCCAATTTTCTTTGCGATTTTGAGTCATGCTTTATGTGTAGTAAATATCTAAAATATACTTCTAGAAAAAACTTGATATAACTCATATCACGAGTGATTTCTAACTTAAATGTACGCCTAACTTACTTAAATACTAATACCAAATCTGTTCATTCCTTTCTGAAAGTTCCGCATGCTTAAAAGACTTTCACATGCACAAGAATGTAATGTGAAAAAATAATTCAAATGATGTTAATACAACCTTCAGCGTTAATTGTTATATCAGCGAAGACATTTCCTTTGTATTTCAGTGAGTAATTTCCGAAGGAACTCTGATTAGGAATAGGAATGGTGCTGTTGATCCATTTTTTGTAGATAACGTTATCTCTTTGTGAGATATCAGTTGATATAGACTGCCGTGTAGGTCCTGACCATGTGAACCCTGATGAAGATGTTAAGGGATTTGCAATAACAGGCAAACTTACATGAACGTTAACGTCCGGGCCACTCTTTGACCCATAGATGCTTTTGAATAAATTGGAGTTATCAAGGCGGGGGTCACCTAAAAGATAAGATATATAGTTGCAAATAAGTAATTCTGAATATCAAGCCACCTTAAAAAGATGTTATGAATAAATCTTTTACATTCATGTTTTTGTGTTTTTTAATTTAAAAGTTTGGTTTATATAAATTTCTAAAAATACAGTTTATTGAGTTTATGAGATTGTGATGGGAAATTCTACGGGAGGAGTCAGTGAAAATTAAGCAAATGATCTTCATAAACAATGCATACATCAGAATATTTCTTTTTACAATCTTATAATTTATAAAATATACAATATGGTTACTTCTACTATGTTCGTTTGTAAAATATATATGTTTTCCGATCAAAGTGTCTTTTCTCACCAAGAGAGTGAACTGAAAACTCCTTGCTTGCAAAGATTTTTCGTGCATGCAAGACAGAAATTAATTTTTGAAAGAGTAATTGGTTGCTTTGATTTGTAAATCCATATTATATATAAATGTGTATAACTATTGAAACAAAAGTAAATTCATCAGTATTTTTAATCGGTATTATTCACGGTGTACATATTTTGTGTGACCGGACGGCAGGGGATGCTCACTCCACCACTTTAGAGAATAGAAAACTACATGTTATAAGTTCCATGTCTGAGCTACATAGTCTCAACGTTTACCCTTATTTTTCTCGCAGACCTCTGAATGCTATAATTTTTTTTCATTAAACTTTACTCACAATAAATTTGAAAATCTGTTGAAAAATATCAATGTAATGCAATCACGCCACAAACAGCTGACAAACACTGCACTTTGGAAGTTCGGTAGGCTCATCTCCATCATCGAAATCGTTGTAACGTTGTGACGTTGTCTTAACAATGTAAGCTGTCGCCAGTGTCTCCATGTCAACATCATAAATTAATAAATATACCTTACTGAAATCGTAGATTTTATGTTTTTGATCAAATTTTGTACTTGATTTCAAGTCATCTGGTCCGGACAAGTGTCTTCATCCATTCCTTTCCGACCTTAATTCCTCCAACTTTTTATTATCAAACATTGGACGTGTTTCTTGTGTTTTTTAACATCGAATATGGGTTCTCATGAATACAAAAAATTCCCAGACACCAATATGCTCACTATAATTGATCACAAGTAGCCTTTCACAGAATATTCCCTTCAAAACAGAATCATTTGTCAGATGAATTTGAAGCGTAACCGCTTTTCAAGCCGATTTACACCTAGCGTAATTTGTCAAAATCTACGACGTACAGTTAGTGCAATATTTATATTCGATTACATTCTATTGTCCGTCTCAAATGTATATATAAGTAATAAATAACAAGTTTAAAAACTTCAATGGGAATTGAAGTGGGTCGGTATATGATCAAATCTTCTGAGAAGGCCTTCGGCCTTCACAGGATTTGATCACGTGACCGACCCACTTCAATTCCCATTGAAGTTTTTAAACCTGTTTATTATTTCTTAAATATCTATATCTATATCTATATATATATATATATATATATACATGTATGTATGTATCGTCCTATTTCTCTCTTTAGAGAAAAGATGATGTTAATTTAAAGTGTACACACTCTATACTGTATGCCCTAAGCACTTTAAATTTATAGCGCTAGTCCACGAACTTTATAATAACCCCTAGTATAATTATATAGATTATGGAGGAAAATCAAGAAAAGTAGAACTCTCCTCCCTGATAAATTTGTGATTAACAGTATCCTATTATAATTATTCTTTAAAAAGCATCATATGACACGTTAAGCTCATGAAATGATACATTGTTTCCTAACTTAATAATGTGATTCTTATAACGTCACAATCACATTACGTTAAAAGTTGCCTTCATAACGTCACGAGAATGACGTCATAATGTAACTTGTTTATTATTTCAAATCTACTGATGAGCCCGCATTGGGCGAAAGCGCTATAGATTAAAGTTTGAGTTTTTCATTTAAATTTGAATTTTATATATATATATATAAATATATATATATATATATATATATATATATATATATATATATATATATATATATATATATATATATATATATATATATATATATATATATATATATATATATATATATCAACATAACTATATATGTATAATTTCGCGTTTATTCGCGAAAGTTACGCGTTGATTCGCGAACGTTACTCGTTTATTTGCGAAAGTTTCGTTTTCTAACGCAAAAAAATATTTTCTTTAACCTACGAAAATGAGCTCAATGGGCTTTCGTAATTTTTTGTAGGTTATCATACAAACATACATGGACATGCGGGGGTCAACTATATATATATATATATATATATATATATATATATATATATATATATATATATATATATATATATATATATATATATATATATATATATATATATATATATATATATATATATATTTACGAGAGGTGATCAGAAAGTTTGCGAACTGATTGAATTACTTCTTTAAAAAAATTAAAAAAAAAAAAAAGGTTTTAGTGCTCATTATTTTTTAAAGTAGTCCTCTCCGATGGTAATGCACATCTGCCATTGTTCTGTCCATTCGCTAATCACGTGATCCAGGCGGTCAAGTAACACGCTCCGTGGCATTCTGTTCACAGAAGCTAAAAGATTTTTCCGAGTCTTACATTTCTACCATGCAAGTTATTTTTTATAACAAGAACAGTTCATCTGTCAGAAATGGCGAAATCTCGGCAATAGGATGGGTGGATAAGGACATTCCTTTCCAGAATTAGCATGGTGATCATCAAAACCCGAGTCCTCTGTCTCGGGAGCGTCGTTAATCCAATGTGGCTAAAGTATGGACGACCTCTTTTTATCATATCGCATATGTTTAAAGTCTAAATTAAACGGTATTTTAGGGATTTAATAATCATATTATTGTAAAAATATTCAGCTATTTTTCTAATTGTAATTTGGCGATCTTTCATAACAAATTGCTCAACTAAGTGCTCAAATATGAAAATATGTCACAGATTATTATTTTTCTTACAAAGATCCTTGATTACTAAAATCATGGTGAAATTAAAGTCATATAAGAAATTAAAGTTTAAAATCATCATTTCGTAAGTTCCATGGTCGATACAATGACCTTGTCAGCAAATACAATTTATCATTAAGTCAAATGCTGCTTGACTTTTTTCATACTAATTGTTAGGCCATTATTTTCACACTGAATTGTCGACGGTTTTTTCCGTTATTTCCCGATCATGACAAGGAGCACACGGCGGGTGTGACCGGTCGGCAGGGGATGCTCACTCCTCCATGGCACCTGATCCCACTTCTGATGTTTTGGAGGTCCGTATTTGCTCTGCACCTATTTTGTAATGTAAAAAGGGACTTTTGAGCTTGAATACTGTTCGTTATCTCCATATATTTTCTTTTTCTGGTGTACACAAATGATAAATGTTAAAACAGATTTAATGGATGTTGTGTACCACCTTAATTAAAAAAAATATGTAATAACATAATAACATGTAATATATATATATATATATATATATATATATATATATATATATATATATATATATATATATATATATATATATATATATATATATATATATATATATATATATATATATATATATATATATATATATATATATAAACCCAAAACAGATAAATGCATAACGGGCTTGCAACATTATACAATGAAAATAAACTCGGTATTCACAGGATTAGGGAGTGAATCCAGAGGCGAGAACACAGAGAACACAGAGCAGAAATTGCGTGAGTTTATAATGTACGAAGTAGATATTGGTCACAACATAGAATTTGTAAATATACACAGATTTGGCAGATTCCAGAGAGAAAAACCCAGACCAATTGTCGCACGTTTCATACACCAGGCAGATATCGACGCGGTGTTGGAGAGGGCCAACTGGCTGAGGGGGACACCACGGAGAGTCCATCGTCAGTTCCCGGCTGCAATAGACGAGCGACGCAGGTCTCTGATTCCGGTGAAGAAACAGTTTAGAGAAGATGGCGCAAACGCGGGTATGTTAAGGCTACACCCAGAGATATCCTACTTGCCTTCACAATATGACGTCATAGTAAGCTGTATGACGTGAACTATAGAAATAATGATTTCTTAATATCTATCTTTAAAGTTTAATTTCAGGTCCAAGAAAAGAATGGAATCATTCAAAACATAACATAAACTAAATCTTGTCGTTTTGGGGTGGTATTAAATAGGTAATTATTTAGCACGGGGGTTAAATACCAAACCCATGACGTCAGAACTATTGATCAAATATTTGCCGAGTGAAATGAGAACTCATGTAAACAAATATATGAAATGGGAGTTTTAAGGCATATACCCTGAATGTTATGTGTGATTCATAAGGAATTAAAGATTAAGAATCAGGTACGCTGATATATTCTTATCATGTTTTCTTATAATGAACATAGTCAGTGCTTTGAAATCCCGATCAGCCGTTCCTCTGTCGTTCTATAACAACAAAGATGCAAAAGTTCAACACTACGCCGCATACTTTGAAATATAATTTTTGTTTGTATCGGAAGCTTTTATTCTATAGTTCTTGGAAAGTGCTGCTAGAATCGTGTGGTTAACATGAATTGATAAAAATTCCTTGATCGTATGTATAAAATGTAAAAATTTTGGTAAGGTTTCATGCCAAACTTTGGAATATTTTTTTCTGTGTCAGGAGAGTAGGATTCTAGCAGCACTTTTCATGGCCCAGTGATGTTTTTAAATAATTATTTTCACTAAAAGAAATGAATTATCTCCGGGGTAGTGTTGAACTTTTCACTTTTTCATTAAGGCAATTTTTCTATTTATAGACGTCACGTGATGACGTCGTAGTGGAGTGCTTCTTTTAGCCTAAGACTCAATGACGTCTATACAATGGATAATAAAAGTAAATGTTTTATCTATGGTTTTTCCGATTTATCAATGTTACATTTTACGAAAAAAGTCTAAATTCGCCGAAATATGATCTGGGTACTGCCTTAACATACCTGCGAATGTTCAGCTTGTAAGTGATCGTTTATTTGTGAATGGTCAATTATACGACCCAGACAGTCATGAATCTGCTGATTGCGACCCAACAGAACCTATGAACTATGTTCAAGTTGTGCAGGATGGCACAAACACAAGAAATGCATCTGATCCGATCGATAGGGACGAGCGGCCGCAAAGCCCAGGACAAATACGGAACACTATTGAAGCGGCCAAGACTGCCCATATGGTTTAAATATTTTCTCATGGAATGTAAACAGATCAATTGTAAATAAGCTAGATGATGAAAATTTTGTTGCAGTTATTCGAAAATATGATACTGTATTTCTTTCAGAATGCTGGATTGATAAAAACTAGAATTTTTCAGAGCGTATTTTACATGTAAGTACAGTATTTGACATAAATATATTTCAAAGGAGTAAAGGAAAAGGTGGGGGTCTCATCTTCAATAAGCATCCAGATAAGAGTGTACATATTCTGAAATGCATGTATGATACTGCCGTTTGGATTAAATTAGATAAAAGCCTAGTTGTATGCCCTAAAGATGCATATACGTGTTTTTGTACACATAAAAATAATGTTTATTATAATCTGTATGATAAGAATATTTTCGAGGAGCTGGAATATGATATGTTAAACTATAGTGAATAGGGTTTAATTGGTCTCATTGGAGATTGGAATAATCGGGTGGGTACTCAGAATATATAGAATCTGATGAAATTTCGAATGCGTTACATAAAACGCTGGAAGATATTTTGAATAATGATTCAGATAGTGATATGTCAGTGCGTTTAACAGAAGATAATAATACTAATAATTTTGGTAAACGTATGATTGAAATGTGTAAATCTTTTTTTTTCGAATATGTACATGTAATGGTCGAAGACCCGGAGATATTAACGGTAAACTGACTTTTTACAGTCACCTGGGGAGTAGTGTAATATACTATGCAGTAGCTGATTATGCATTGTTTGGACATGTAGTCGATTTTGAAGTTCTTGATTTCAATGAATGGTCTGATCATGCCCCAATATATCTTATTTTTAATAAATGTACAGAAGAGCCACTGGACCAAATTTCTCAGGATTTCAATGGTATAAGTGGTACTGATTACTTTTATAACTGAAATAACAGAGAATTTGAAAAATGTACTGATTCAAATGGTATAGTATACTCAATGGAGGATGGTGTAAATATCTCCGAATCTATTTCTAATTTTACACATTGTCTGAATTAGGTTTTTGAGCAATATTGTAAACATAATGTATGTAATAAACAAAAACGTAAGGATGTTGTTAGAAATAAACCCTGGTTAAATGAGAGATGTAGAGATTTGTATAGAATTTACAAAGAGAAACTTTTTTATATTCAATAGATGTAGAAGTCATTTTAATAGACAATTATTGATTAAATCTTAAAACGATTATAAAAAAAAATGTATGTATAGGGCAAAATGTGAGTATATGCGATGTCAAGGTAGCCAGTTAGAATATCTGAGGCGCACTTCACTAAGAGAATTCTTTGAAAAATTTTAAAGAATCATAGGCCAGACAACAAGAATCATAGGCCAGACAACAATTGTAATCTCAGTGTAGAAGAATTTTATGAACATTTCAGAAACCTAGCTAGGAGTCTGTAAAGATGTTACATATACAGATTTTCCAAATACAGAATATGATATGAATGCTGTATTTGGTGAACTAGATGTTAATATAATTGTTGAAGAGGTTGTAGATGCTATAAACTGTTTAAAAAGCAGAAAATCGCCAGGAAAAGATAATTTGATAAATGATTATTCAAATATACATGTGAAGACCTTATCCCACTTTTAACAAGAACATTTAATGTTATTTTTGATACAGGTAATATTCCTCTCACATGGTGTGAAGGTGAAATAGTACCTATCCTTAAAAAGGCCGACCCAGAAGTAACAGATAACTATAAGGGCATTGCCCTCATGAGTTGTATGTTAAAAATATTACAACAGTACTATACTTAATAATAGACTGATGAAATTGTCTGAAAGTAAATGTTTAACTGATGCACAGTTTGGATTCAGACCAGGGGTTGGTACCATAGACGCAATTTTTGCACTGCAAAGTATAATTGATAAACATCTTTCAAATGGGAAAATTCTACTGTTGTTTGTGGGCTACCGTTAGGCATTCGATAGTATTAATAGAAATTCTCCTTTAAAAAAGCTCATAACATTAAGAATCATGGGGAAAATGTTTAACAGTACATGGTCTCTGTATAAGAATGCCAGGAGTTGTGTGAAATACAAAAAAAAAGAAAAAAAAAAAAAGAAACCCCAATAATTTTGTGACTTTTTTTAGAGTAGAACAAGGAGTCCTTCAGGGAGAAGCACTGTCTCCTCTACTTTTTTCTTTATATTTAAATGATTTTGAGAATGCTTTTATCATGTCTAATTGTCAAGATATTAATCTCCAAGAAGTGTCATTGTTTTTAATGTTTTATGCATATGACATATTATTTTCCGATTTTCTCCTTAGGGATTACAAAATTGCTTGATGTCCTTTTCTCATATTGTAATGACGGGAATTGTCTGTAAATGTAAGTAAAACTAAAATAGTAGTATTTAGGAAATCTGGTCGATTGAATCAAACTTATAAATGTTATAATAATGATGAGGAGGTTGAAGCTGTCAATCAGTTTACTTATCTTGGTGTCTCACTGACATACACAGGTAATTTTTATAAATAAATCTCAGGTAAAATTGGCTACTCCAGGGAGGAAATTTATGTTTAAACTTTTGAAGTTAATGAAAAATGTACATTTTAAATTACGTTACTCGTTTATCTTTGTTTGAAACTTATGTAAGTAGTATATTAAATTATACAAGTGAAATGTTGGGATTCCACGAAGGTGATGCTATAGAGAAAATACATTTAGAATATCTCAAAATTATGTTGAAAGTGAGAAAAAATACGTCGTCGTTGATGATCTATAATGAACTTGGTTGCTTACCTCTTTTTATTCAAAGGAAAATTCGTATTATAATTTTTTTTTAAAATTAGTGGAGTCAGAAAATTGTATATTGAAAAGTATTTACCAAGATAAGCTTGAAAGAATCGAGACAAGTCCTTGTACAAAATATAATTGGTTACTTAATGTAAAATATTTACTATTTTTATTAGGGTTTGGAGAAGCTTGGTATTCTCAAAATACTACGAACAAAAATATGTTTTTAAAAATATTTAAACAATGATTTCTTGTTACATTCAACAAGAATGTAAGGCTTTTTTTCTTCCTCACCAATGTGTTGTGTGTATAGATATCTAACAAATAAGCTGTGCATGCAATCCTACTTAATGAAACCAATTCCAGCCAAATATATTCAAATGATTGCAAAATTTAGATTAAGTGCGCTTTTTTAATGATTTAGAAGGGAAGATTTACTCATATTCCTAGAGAGAATAGATTATGGTTTTTTCTGTCAATTGGAGGTTGAAGATGAGTACCATTTTATTTTGAAATGTTCACTTTATCATGAGTACAGGAAATTGTATATTAAAAAAGTATTATTGGTATAGACCTAATATGTATAGACTTTTACAATTATTATCACCTGAAAATTTGAGTGAACTAAGTAATACAGGAAATTTCCCAAGAAAGCAGAAGCACTTAGAAATTCACATCTGTAAACTAAGGATTTTTTTCTGTAATGTTTTGTTGGAAATATTGTACACAAATAATATTATGTTAAAACAATGTATGTAAATATTTTATGCATGTACATTCTTTCTGTTCTATACATCCTGTATTTTGTAATTGCTTACTGATAATATAATCTAATAAGCCATATGGCTTAAGGAATACATAAACAAATCAAACATTTATATGTGATACCTATCTGATTCTCACCCAATAGTAATGTGCGACACCTATCTCATTCTCGTTAACTTTTTTTTTTCGCTTTAAGAAATGAAACGACACAAATCTGCAAAGGTCGAGAAGCTTAGCTGTCTCAGAGGTCGGAGACAAGCGTCATTATGAAGTCATACAATACTGACTTGCAGCGATGACATGAATCTACCTTTTCAAACATTTACCTATGTCTTTAAGACAAAAAGACATAGAATATGTTCCCAGGAATACTATTGATGACAAAGTAAACTTACAGGTAACGTTGATATGAAATGACTGAATCCTGCTCTCAAACTCAGATGATTTTCCTTCACAGCTGTAATTGCTTGTGTCAGAACACTTAGCATCTTTTATCCATGTGTAATTAAAATGGCCTTCCCCAATGATCTTGTTAGCAGTGAGCTTTCTGAGGATAACTTCTGGAGTGGGATTTCCTCCAAGGAGACATGTAACATTAAGAGGAGTGCCTTCATTAATTGTTGATGAATATTGAAGTTTTTCATTAATGTACACTCGAGGGTCCTCGAAATCTGTAAAAAAAAAAAAAAAAAAAAAAAAAAAAAAAAAAAAAAAAGGTTCATAAATTAAGCTGAAATGTATTCTTCAAAACCAATATTAAATCATTTCAATTATTTTTTTAAAGGTTTTATATTGATATATAGCACCATTAACTAATAATTGTCAAAACCTTATTACATATATACCCCGCTTGAAAAGCGTGAGTATATAGTGATGGAGGTGTTCGTCAGTACGTCTGTTAAACTTAGGGGTAGCCATCCCTTAGTCGCAACTCCTCCTATACAACTGAATAAAATTTAATGAGACTTTCAGCGAATCTTTCATACAGTGTGCCATTGTGCACCTCCTATTTTGCATTTCGATTAGAAACATATTTTCCATAGAAATGAATTGACACAACTATTCTTTCTAAAATATTGAGGGCACCCATCGCTTATCCAAAACTCCTCCTATACCTCTAAAAATCTGTATGTGACTTTCACAGAATCTTTATTAAACAGTGCCATTGTGCTCTTCCTATTTTACATTTCGGTCGGACAGATATTTTGGGGTTTCCAATAGTAAAACATTGACTTTGCTATTATGCTCATATAAGAAGGGGAAGAATCATTTTGTGAGCTCACAGTACCTCTATTTATAATATTAATATTCAATGATCAGTATGGTTACAAACTTCGTCTGTCAATAATTTGCAAACTTTGATTGAAATATGTTTGAGGATATTCAAGAGTCAGGATCTACCTTCAAAGATGCAACTTAAACATCCTTGTCACTGGTCAATCCTTATATATATATATATATATATATATATATATATATATATATATATATATATATATATATATATATATATATATATATATATATATATATATATATATATATATATTTCTCATATACGATTCCGGAATATTATCTAAAAAGAACACTAAATGTTTCCATTGTATAAGTTTAATATAATTTTTTTGCATTTCTGACAAAATATTTCTTCGATGACCTTTCATGTAAAGTTTGCCAAGCACATTTCATTGGTAAGCCATTGATTCCTTTTTCTTTCAGTCATATGATATTTTGAGTATGTTTGGAATGCAATCTGAATCAAGATTTTCTCCTCACATGACCTGCACTTTGTTAATTCACTCAGTCCAGAAGATAAATATTTCTTATTTGCATTGAATTTTTAAAGTAGTTGACTGAATGTAATAAGCTAATAAAGAAATTAGAAATGAAGAAATCCATTGCACAAATGAACAGTATATCTAAACATATTTACAGTCACATTTTTTATCTCGAAGAGTTCATATAATTCGAGATACTGAGGTTAAAAAACATAATATATATTAAAAATCCGTAGAAATTTCAGTATGTAAATAATGTAAATTTTCCAATACATCCAAAGACCTATAATGAACACAACTTGAAATTCCTTAGTTTTCAGCATTGTATTTTTGAAAATGCACAACAAATAGTTTTCAATTAAAGAAAAAAAGGAGAAAAGAAAGAAACAGTGTGTGCAAATGCATCTGGCCCGTCTTTTTTTGGACGGGGAGTGGGTTTACGTGTATATATATATATAGTTCTATTTGTTCTACTATCTCACCAATTTCCGAAAAATTCTTTCTTAGATTTCACAATAGATAATGGGAATTGGTTATTGTACAAAACACTTACATAGAATTTTCAACTTGATGTCTTTATTCGCACTTCCTACTCTGTTGATGGCTACACATCGTATAAGAGTCATCCTAGTTCTGTCTGCGTTTAGCATTGGTAAAGGTAATGAAGAAATGTCATAGGATGTATCATTAACAAAATCCCCTGACGGATGTTTATACTTCCATTGTAAGGTACAAGGTGGATTACAGTGAGCTGAACAGTTGTACGGACCTAATGGTTTCCCATCTTTTATTGTTATTGTATCATTACCAGGCTTAGGGGTTATCATAACACTTTCTGGACCATCTACAAAAAGAGAAAGTGGGTAAAACTGATTGTTCAGAACATCATACACACTGTATTTCCCTAGATTCCTTGGCTGATTGTAAAAATATGCGTAATCCTGAAAAGTTTTTTTTTTGTTTAATTAGTGAATTTTGCTAATCTACAATGTAAAATTTGTTTTTCTTTTTTTGAGGTTTGTAAAATAAATTTACCTTTCAGATTATTGTACATATTTGAATATAGTAAAATGACAGAAAAATTATCAACAGTAATAATGAGAATTTTTTTTTAAAAGAAAAAGACATGTACAAGTTTTTCCACCATCTCAAAGGCTGCTGAGTATCATAATTTGGGATTGTATGTGTGTAAAGGAAATATGAATTTGAAGTGTTGTAGAAGGTTATATAAACAGCAGAGATTATAATTATACAGACACAGTAATTCTTTTCTTTTGGCCAAATATTTTCCAGATAATCAGTATGTATTTATGGACAGTAATGCTCCCCGTGCATAGAGCTTATATTGTAAAAGAATAAACAGTCAGTAACAATATATAATGAAAAAAAAAAAAAAAAAAAAAACATGTCCGTAAACTATATTCAGATTTCACTCGCATAGTAAGTTAAATTAAAAGTCTACTTTCATTTTCTATAGACAGCCATGCAATAGCAAAAACGTGAGTAAGGCGGCGGTTCCGGTTGTCGGATCTAACTTACTGGCAATTTTTAATGAAACTGACAACAGGCAATCGTTTATTTATTTTACAAAAAGTCATCACTGAATTATTCAATCAAAACTTGATTTAAATTACGTAAAAGAAATAAGTTGTGATAACCGATTAAAAAGAAATTATTTTCATCATTCACCGATATTATTATTGACGGAAACTTCTAGAACATCACATAGCGTCGGACCCGATGTTAAACAGAAAAACGAGGCGATTATAGCTGCATGAACATATAAAAAAAACTTTTGTGTGAATGGTCATTGAAATAATAGTTAATCATTGAAAACACTAAGTTGTGAATATATTTATATTTCAAAGACTACTAGTAGGTTTTCCTAATAAATTTATCGGTAGAATTTGTATATTCCTCACTGAGAGCATAGTGGCAACGAACCCGAATTACAATTTGCACCGTAATAAATTTGCTTACATGAAAAGAGAAAATTAATAAATAAGGTATTGTTGAAATACAACTAAAGCCGTTAAAATTTTGTGATTTAATCAACACATTTCATTTTCTTTTTGAATACGGTCTTTTGTATCAAATTCTCGGCCCATTCATATGGTGTTAAAAACTTAATGTTTACAAAATAAAAAAAAATTCAATTTATCATTAAAATGTGCACATTCGCTGCTTTTATCCTTGACGGAAATGAAACAAGAGTACCCGAAGTACAATATTCATAACATAGTTTAACAGGTTTCACAATATACGTCAATTAATGAAATTGTTATTTTTCAAGTTTTTACAAAGGCGGGGGGGGGGGGGGGCACGTATATTTACTACTTCTCTAAAGCGAAATGCGGGATTTGAACAAAGTATTTCTTCCTGCTATAAGCCTGTAGGCTGTCAGTAGAAACTACAATATATATTATTGGAATTTTTCTGTCGGCATTGGTATAAATTTAATTCCCAACGCTTAGGCAGGATTTCCTCTAATGTTTATGTATGTATACATGTACATGTATTTGAATTTGCGTAATTCTTTTTTATGTTTTACTCTAATTGTTCTGCTTGTTCATCTTATGCAAAGAATGTTCCCGTCCATATGAATAGAATGTCATCATTTATCGAACAATCTTCAAGCAGATATCAAAATTTATACAGGTCTGGGCGATTTCCAAATATGGAAGTCAAGAACGATAACCGTGAATTGCTATAAATAAACAGAATAAACAAGGTGTTAGTCCTTCTGACCAATTAGATAACGGCATTTAGACGAACCCATGAGAAAATAAATAAAACACGTGGTTTTCAAGTTTTTTGCTCAAAAGATGTTTTTAGAATAAAAATTTTGTAAACTTGATGCACATTTAGGAATGATTTAGCACATATGACAATTCTATCGTGAACAAACATGACTTGAAAGCTTAGAAAAAAATCTAAGTGGGACTAAAAATCTGTCACTACGAGGTAGCAATCCCAAACGTTTAACTTGTGTTAAGAAATTTGATAAAAAATACGACAGGTTTTCAGTTTTTAGGGCCTGACATAAAAATGTTTTCATATTGGAATATAACAGTCTTAATTATTTCCTGAGTATTTATTACAAAATCGTCCATGCAGTTTCTGGTATGCGAGGTAAGATATGGTGATATAAAGCATTCATGTTTATTCCCTTTTCTCTATGTTTTTCACCTTTCCTCATGTCCATTATAAAGTGTATATAACATGGTATTCGGCGCTCATGAAACCCGTGTTATTTTAAAAATTACATGTAGTCTCAACAATGAATGCTCTATACGGATGGAAACTACGCGTTATCGATGAAAATCGGACGGCTGAGCAAAATTATATTTACTAACATAGAGTATGTTCTGTATAAATGCTATAATTGTACTTGATAATAGCTTGACGATGTGATCTATTTCTCCCGTAATTGATCGCATTGTTAAATGCATTAATTTTTTTCTTTTCCGAGATGAAAATCTCAAGTTTGGTCAAGGTAAATATGTGGGAAATACTTTATTCTTCCAAACTTTTCATCTTACTTCTAAAATTTTTTTTATCAAAAAAAATATTTTGAGGAAAAAATCAAAAGCACGTGTTCTCTTTTTGTTCCTTTGAAATATGTTTTGGGGTGTGTAAAAATGCTGTTGTCTGATTGGGCAGTAAAATATTGACGTGTATCTGATGTATTTTTATAGCAACTTTCAATTATCGTTCTTGACTTCCATATTTTGAAATCGTCCAGACCTGTTATATAATGATTGAAATGGAACAAAGATTGAAATGTGTCAAGATGAGGAAAATTAAACTATGGGTTTTAGATATTTTGGAGATTCAAAAAAATTCAACGCAATTTTTTTTTTTTTTAGAAAGAATCAGAAATGGCGTCAAATTAATTACCTTGAAAAAAAAGTATGACAGTTTACGTACTGACGATAAAAATTACAATATTCAACAATTGAACAGAAAAAATGTATACATCAGTATATTTAACAAAGGATGACTGCACTTAAGGACATGCGAAATTTGCGACAAAATAAACTTTCAAAACAAGCATTTTTCTTTTCATTGCAAGAATGGTCAACATCCAATCTACAACTTTTTGTTTTACATTTAACAAAAGTGTGTATTTACGAGGTTTGAATCTGTTTTCAAAGGCAGGGATCGTCACAATTTCTTGAATCTCCGTTCGATAATGAGGACGCCCACTTTTCACTGACTTAATACATAGTCAGCGCATGTTTGTCTAATTGTTCTACGTTTAACAGTAATTGTATATTTGCATAAATAATAATGTGTCAAAAGGAGATTAATAGACAAACATGCGCTCATGGTTAAAAGAGAAAATAAACTGCGTCTTCTTACATTTGCTCTCTGTGTTGTAACCAAGGATTGTGACATGTTGAATATTATAATTCACCACGTGATTTCTTACCTCAGGTAACTTTGTGAATACTAAATTCCGTCACGTGACTTGTAAGGTAGCATGTTTTGTGCTAACTAGGACACTGTGTTCGAACACGTCAAGTCATCTGGCATTGATATAAAATCTGCTTTAATTACATTGACGTGCTCATATTGTAATTTCGTATTGAAATTTTTGTCAGAAGTGTATTTGTGCCATACAGAATGGAGAGGGAGATTGGAAAGAGTGATCACGTTTTTTTTTTTTCCAAACATATTGTTATTTATCAAGTCTAATTTTAGACCCATTCTTACAATGTTAGCTCCTCCTCTCACGCATATCTAATGTTCAATCAAGGGCAGGTAAGTGTATATTCTCTATATTTGGAAAGCAGTAAGTACAAAAAACATTGAATCATTTTATTGTATCACAGTCTAAAATCATTTTAAGATTTAAATTTGGTTCCAAATTGACAGGATTCTTTCATAAACATACAAAAGTGAAATAAGGTTAAGATATAAAAGCAACAGAAGCAACCGAAAAAGACCCAAAAACAGGCGTTAAGTGTAGTCATCCTTTAAAAGTACGTTTCACGACCTAACTATCACTACAAACTTAATTTTAGAATCTTCTTTTTTGCACTGAATTATTGAAATCAATGTTCTGAGAGTACTGATGGGAGTTGATTTTAATGACGGTTTCAATAAAATTAAATGTGTGTAACCTTGTTCACAATTTTGAAATAAAGTACAACATTAATGCTTCATAATTTGGTATGCAAGCAAATGACTAAGATGTCACGATTCTACAGAGTCAAAAAGGGAAGGGTTGTTTTTATTTGACCATAACTTTTGAATGATACTCTGCTCGATGGGCAAGTCACTTATAAGATTAAGGATTCTGATTGGAAATCGAGTAAAGGACGCAATAATTTAAGTAAGCACAATTAGACTTCTTTGCTGCTCTCAGAGTAAGCGGATGTGGCATAAAGTTAAAAGGAACACTAAGATTTAACCTACTTTCTTGCGGAACAATTAATTAATTTTTACAAATAATGCTCAGTGGTTACAATTTCTGCTACTGATCTTGTGCTAAAAAAATGAATAAAGTATATTTTCACACAGGTAAAATAATACAGAAGGGTCAATATCTACCACGTTTTCCCCAAATATAAGCTTTTTGTGGAAAAATTGTTCATTGAAAGCCTCCCCCCTTTTTTGTTGCAGTTAACTCAAATGGTCGCAAAGGAATATATAAATTGAATGTGTCTGTCGAAGAGTTTTACTCCCCCTCCGTGTAATAAGATTTTTTTGAGTTCAGATCCCCCTTTTTCCCTTGTCAAAAATTGTTCCAGTAAGTTGTTGTTTTTCCATGGCTGCCCCTCCCCCTTTTAAAAACGATATTTCTGGTAATAACTGAAAAAAAATGTTACATTTCAATTTTATTCGGTGACTTTAGTAAAGCTAAAGAGTGACATTTCAGACTTTCTGGAAAGCCAAACTTGTTATACAATTACAATTATATGTAAAACATTTATAAAATACTTTCTGATTTTGTGCAATTATATTTGAAAAGAGTATTATATTATTATTCAGAACAAATCAAACACAAAAAATACTCACACATAGGATTGATCTGGACATATTCAC